TTGAGTCGCGACTGAATCAGAAAAAGGGAAGGGAGCTCACACGGTTGAGTTGAAGGTGGGAAGAAGAAGCACGGAGTGAACCTTTAGCGCGAGGGCTAGGGTAGCTTGCCAAAGATCTAAAGTAAGTTTGAGATTTTATTAAGTAAACTAATAAAATGCTATATATATTTATGAATGTGAGTTTAATTAGGTAATGTGTTAATATAAAGTCACTTGAAATAGGTATCGTAAGTGGAAGATTTTAATGCCAAGAAGAAGGAAGTTGGCTCGTGCATGAAATTCAATTTTATAAGCGAACGGTAAGAGTCAAATCTTTTGGTTGTTTAATATTTTATGATGTAAATTTGCTTAAATTAAAACTATTGGTTTATTTATTAATGCTCATGACACATTTAAATTAATCAGATATGAAAGTAGAAGGTTGGAGGCAGAATCAATTAAATATGTAAAAAAAAGGGAAATTTTGTGCAAGGAAGCTAATCAAACCTTTAAGGTAACAAATTGTATAATTGCTTATGTGTCATTTTAATTGTCTGTCGTTAAATACATTAAGTATTTCTTTTAAGAATAGAATTCTTATCAAATGATATCACAGTCATTTAATATAGGTGGTTATCCAAAGAAGTGAAGTGAAGGGTTAAAGTATTTTCGAGGTCCCTTAAGGTTAAGTTGAGCAATTATTTTCTTATATATATTAAATTTAAAGTTTATTAAATAAAGAATTCCTTTAATGCTTTAGACAATTATTTTATGAATGTTGTAGCTTAAGAATTAAAGGAAATGAAAGGGAAAAAAGGAAAATGAATGTTTAATGACTTTAAAAAGAGATAATTTAAAGAAAATAAAATAATAAATAAATGTTTAAGTCATAGAAGATTATCCCCAGATGATACTGACGGGGGATGCAATGTATCTGTGCAAGTTTAAGAAAATGGTAAAGGTGTGTCTTTAGGTGCAGTTGATGGAACTTTTGGGTGCAATTTTGAGGGTGTCTTCGGGACACATTTTTTAGGGTGTCTTCGGACACATTTTTTTAGAATACATTCGGGTATGACAATAATTTTGTGATGACTATTAAAGATGTTAAATTGGTAAAACTTAAAGTGAAACGGGAATGAATATTTTTATTGTTTTAATGAAATAAATTGTATTCTTCATTTGGTCATTCATGCATAGCATAGCATAACATAAGAATTTAAATCATATTAGATCATAATTACTCACTAAGTTATAATTATAGTTGTAAATTATTGTTTTCTCTAATGAGAACGAAAGTTTTATGTTGATATGTCTGATAGGAGAGACTTTATTTCCAGAGGAGGACCGCTGTTGCAAAGTATTTTTTATAATGATAGTTCCTCTTTACTGTTTCTTTCAGATATTGAAATACTATTTAGTACTGGCTTGTGATGTTGTCATTGGATGTTATTATTTCTGGATGCTTTAGATTTTATTGCACTTTGTGGAGTAGCTGTTTTATATGTATTGGAAGTTTTCAAAGTGTGGATAGCTAGATGTTAATACCGTTCAACTGTTGTATCCACCTTAGTTAATTCTAAGCACCGGGCCAGGTCGTGACATAAAATATCGTGGAAAGGTATGAATAGTATTGTTATTAGGCAATATTCAATTGCATTAAAGGACATTAAAAGAATGGTGACTCTAATATGAATTAAATTGCTTTTGCACATTCAAACCTAAATTGCCAATATTCAAATCACATTCTAACATATAACAAGAAAAATTATTGATAAATGGTAATATAATTTTATCATTATTAGATTCCTTTAGTATATTTGCATTCTCCTTATTATTCCATCCACTAACAACCTTTTTTATTATATATACCAATTACCTTAAAAAAAGTCAAAAAGTAATATATTATTCATCCAATTCACTCCCATATCATTTAATCATCAGAATTATTAGTATATTTGCATTTTCCTTGTCATTTGCATCTATTTCCAAAAAATATCAAAAAGCATAGCAAAATTCTATATGAAAATAACTATAATGTTGAAATGGATGCTATGTTCATTCATTATATATGCAGTTTCCCCTCCTAGCTTTAAACCAAATGTCTGTCAAAGAGTTTTCACTATTAAATTTCATCCTGATAACTCGATTGATTCATATAAAACTTGATTGATTGCAAAAGGATTCAAGCAACTCTATAGAATAGACTATGTTGACACCTCCCAAGTTGCCAGAATAAACTCTAACATAATCCTTTTATTCATGGCCATCAATCAAGGATGGACTGAACTCTTTAAGAGATGTGGGTAATGCTTTTGTCTATGATGGCCTACATAAGGCAATTTATATGAAACCTCCTCTTAGGTATGTTGCTCAAGGGTATGGGTGTCAAAAATTGACCCGGAAAACCAACTCAACCCAAACCTGACTCAAAAAATACAATTCAGGTTAACTCAAGTTTTGGGTTGGGCTGGGGTTAAAAATCTTAGCTCGTTTAATTTTTTTGGTCAGGTTTGGGTCAAACTGTTTAGAGTGAGGTAAGTTTGGGTCAATTACCAAGCAGATCCAAACCCAACCTATGAACCCAATTTGACACCCCTACTCAAGGGGAGGATCATATATATCAATAAGAAATATTATTTAGGGACATTCAAAGTCTATAGCTTGGTTTGAAAATTTATAAAAAGTCCTCAATGTGATTAATATTTACAATAGTATCATAAATCATTCTATCTTTGTTAAGCATACACCTTCAAGCTCTGTCATGCCAGTTACTTAACTTCATCACATCCCACTAATTAAGAGCAATCATAATGACATCTAGGAGAAGACATCATTTGTAAAAGTGGTCATTGAGAATTTGTGATGAACGAAGTTTTTTTTCTTGGAATTGAATTTGCTTATAGCAAAAAGAGGGTTCTCCATCTCAAAGGAACTATGCTATTGATCTTTTCAAAGAAACTAATTCATATCTAAGAAAAACAAAAATCCAATAGGGAAATAGATTTTATTATACAAATCAACGGGGTTACAATCAGGAACTCAGAAAAAAGGAAGAAAACCAACAAAATACTAATCTCCCGCTAGGGCGGAGTAGGACGGCAAGTGGTGGTCGGTTGGAAGAGGAAGCCTGGACACAAGCAAGGGTAAACTGATGACTGGAAAATTCATGTCTGATAATGAGGAGATATTTGAAGGTTCATCTTAGTATCAAAGATTAGTTGGTAGATTCATTTATCAGACTATTATTAGGCCTGAAATTTTCTGTCATTGGAGTATTAAATTTGTATATGCAAGCTCAAAATTTGCAAATTGTGAAGGTGCTCTGATAATTCTCAAGTATATTAATATTTTGCTGAAAAATAGCTGTTATATATTAAGACTAAGTACCTAAGCATTGAAGCATTCATAAATGTCAATAATGCCATCTTGATTAAAGATAGAAAGCCAATCTTAGGATCTTGTATCTATATTAGAAGTAATGTGATCACTTGGAAAAGTATGAAACATACAATTGTGGCGTGATCCAAAAATAAGAACGAATATAGAGCTATATATTCCATTCAATGTGTAAAATTTTCTGGGTAAAAAATTTGCTACGAGGATTTGAATATTCTTGTTATTTAACTATGGCACAATGCAGTGACGAACATATTGTTTTTACATTATTAGCAATCTTGATTATCATAAATAAATTAAATATATTGAAGTCGATTATCATTTCATATGAGATGATATGCTTTCCAAAAAATAATGTCACTCCTCATCTTCCCAGTTCAAAAAAAATGGCTGCTATCATTATCAAAGCTTCGAAACATCTACCACTTTCTTGTTTAATTAAAAAGCTAAAGCTAAACATATGCTCCATCTTAACGGGGTGGTTGAGGGTATACAACAACAAACAACAACAACAACAACAACTTAATCCCACTACGTGGGGACGGCTACATGAATCCTTTTTCTCCATTGCGTCCTATTTAGTGTCATATTTTCATTTAGTTCTAGTAAATTATAATCATTTTTAATAAGCCCAATTCTTTCTAGGTCTACCTCTGTCTTTCTTAACACAAGTCGAATTTAAAACATCTACTCTCCTAATCGGATCATCTAATGGTCGACGTTTAATATGACCAAACCATCTAAGACGACTTTCTCTAATTTTGTCTGTCACAGGAGCTACACCAACCCTATCACGAATATATTCATTCCGCATTTTGTCTCTAAGTGTAAAGCCACTCATCCACCTAATCATTCTCATCTCGGCAACACTTAACTTATTATTATGCTTCTCTTTTAAAGGCCAACATTCAGCGCCATAGAGCATTGCAGGTCTCACCACCGACTTATAAAATTTTCCTTTATATAACAAAGATTCCCTTAGTTATAGTGGTCAATGTTAATCATGAAATTTCTTGTAACATCATATTTGTTTCTTTATTATAAAGAAGAGGATTTCAATTAAATAATACCCATAGAAATTCTCCGCCAACCAAAAGTAATTAAACCTACACTTCGAAAATTTGATGTTTAATCAGCATTAAGTTTATAAATGATAATTAAGTTTACTTAAGGTAAATCAACAATATTAGAACACTATGGCGAGCTAAAAAAATGGGATGAAAGCTAAAATGAAACCAAATAGTTCTTAGCTTACCTTAGCTTACAACAACTTATCTTTTGCATCAACCAATAACTTAATCTCACTAAAGACTTGAGCTTTCTAACCCGGCTTAACATAAATTAAGCCCTAATCAAGTAGGTCCTAATGTCGTGACTCAATTCGATGTTACAAATAACCTAGTCTTGATTAGAAAATGTCAACCAATAACATCACAGATTAAAGTTGCAGACTTCAAAAAGAATGAAGTACCCAACAAAAAAATGACATTAAAATATTAGGTCAGCATTATCAAGCGAAACCATGCTAAATTGTTTAGCAAGTAAGGCCTCCATGGATAAAGATTCCCCTTTTGTAAGAAATGATTATGCAAATTCCGGGGGACGGGGGCTATGAAATGGGATACCTTCAGAAACGAGTCAACTTTGGGATACGGCATGTATCTACCATCACTTTTTCCAGATGATGTACGCTCATATATATGCATTTTTGAATGCTTTACTTCACCATACTTTCTCAGAAGCATCTTCCATACTTTTTTAGATACTTGAAACCTGCAACATTGTTATGAAAATGGAAACATTATGACCTTTTTTAGGTAGCAGAGGTCGTAAATAAGTCCGAGGTCAGAAATTGGCTTCATTGAGAAATATACATTGGAGCTGAACTAAGAACATGCAGGCCAAGAGACCATTAATCTATATAAGAGAATGGATAAATTATGCATAACTAGCACTGGTAAATCAAAATAAGTTCGTAAAGACAGCCTAGTACTTGAAATTAAGTATTAATGTAAATGAAGAAAACTGGAACGAGATGCCAAGCCATGGGAGATTTTGGGTCATGTAAATATAAACAATGCCCACTAATCATTTTAACAGCAGATTATCTATGTCAATCAAGCGTGCATGTATAATAGAGACTGATGTAAGAGGAAATTAATCTGAAGACTGACAACATAATGAAAAAATTATAAAGACTAAAAGCCTTCTGTTGCCTTCCTTTCTCTCATAGCCCTTTTCTAATCATATATGTAGTTTATTAGAAGCTTCATAATCTATTTTAAAGATTTTATTTATTCATGTTTCCATATTAATGATTATGATGATTTCATAGAGAATTATGAAATGTATGTACGTTGTGTGACAACCTAGGTAGATTTATTTTCTACTCACTCAATCCTAATTAGTAAAAGTTAGAATGAATATTGGTGAAAAATCTGTCCTATTGGGTTGACTACCACTGTTATTAGTCATGTTTGACTAGAATGGGGTCAAAATGGGGGCACGAAAAAAACTGGAACCATAGCAATGATTAATTTGGAGATGAAAGAAAAAATAGCTTTAAAAATAAATTTAAGAATGAGACGAAATTTAAATATGATTATTACAAAGTATAGAATGATATGATTGAGGGTAGTAAATCTAGTTTAGTTTAGAAGTGGTGTATGCATGATAAAATCATTATATAATAATTTATATTAAATAAATAATTTTTTATATTTTCAAATAACAATAACTAAAGAAATTATAGACAAAATACTGGTCAGATTTCTAGGCCAACAATTGAGGTATAAATGTGAGCTCGGGATTATTTTAATGGAAATGGAATTTAAAATAGAGTAGACCAAACTTAGAAAGTAACATGATATTGTGAATCTGATTTCTTAGATTTTTAATAAAATTGTATTTATTAAAAAATCTTCTTCAAGTAATAGGTCAATATCTAAATTTGGCATGATTTATACCTGAATTGTGTGTAGTGATGGCATCCAAAGTTAAAATGTTTTGTGTACATTGAGATTCGAGATAGGAAATTAATAGCAAAATTGATTGTGGAACCTATGAAGTCTTTTACGTGATTTTAGCTTAGTTAAGAAATTTTGTCACTATTAAACTTTGAAAGAAAAGAGCTACATTTGAACTGCCTAATGAAAAATCATTTTACTTTTATTGTGATAAAATATGATGACTTCCTTAGTCAAAACAGTAAAGCTTAGTAAATGGATAAGAAGTGATGAATTTGTGTTCTTCATAAAATTTGAAGTGCTATAAAATAACATTGAAAAATTAAGATAATATTGAAGTTGTAGCAAAATTTATTGATGTGTCTCTAGAGGAATTATATAGATTCTCACTCGAAAGAAAGTTGAATTTGAGATTGAATTGCAAAGAAGAATGGCAGCAACAAATAGATCTCCTCATAAAATGTCTACTATAAAATTATAAAAAAATGAAATACTAATTATTGAAATTGATAGAAAAGATATTCATAAGATCAAGTAATCGTACACATATTATTTTGTTAAAAAGAAAGATGAAACTATGAGAATATGTTTTGAAAAAATAGTGGTGAATATTAGAATGATCTATATATAGATCAATTTGTGATTATATTCATTGATAATATTTTAAAATATTCACCACTTAATGAATCCTCCAACAATTTTTATGGATTTAATGAATCAATTTATTAAGCCACATATAAATTACTTCGGGATTATATTCATTCATAATATTCCAAGATTAATGAAAATCATACTAAAAATTTGAGTCAACAGTTTTGTGATTATTGAGAATATGAATTTTAGTAGAAAAGGTATTGCATTTCTAGATCATATAAGAAGTGAACATAGAATCTCATAAGAACCTCAAAAGGTGAAAGTAATATTAAAATATTATAATAATTCTAATTATTGTGGGCTTAGTTGGATTTTGTATAAGTTTTATGAATGAATTCTCATAGATAATCTAGCTTTTGTTTAAGGTGGTGAAAGAAAAGGTTAAATTTGACTAAGCATAAAAATGCGACTGCAATTTTGAAGAACTAAAAAAGCATATAACAAATGTGACAGTGTTAATTATTTCACAGGGAATAAAAGAACTTTAAGATTATTGTGATCCATTTTAACAAAAAAACTAAAATCACATGAGCAAAATTATCCTGTCTCAGATCTAAAATTGGGCACTATAGTTTACCTTTAAAGATTCGAAGATAATACTTGTAGGAGGTCAAAAATGAAATATTTATTTATTATTAGAGTTTAAAATGCAGCTTCACGTTAAAGGAGTTGAATCTAAGGTAGCGATGATAACTTGAGTTGATTTAGGGCTATGATCTAGACATATAACATTGTCCTAAGAATACAGATATTGGGTACTACTTTGAGTCAAAAATCCATAGATATTTCAAGATGGATAATTATTCAAGAATCTCATTTGAGATAAGATCTTTGTAGTTAAAATTCAAAAGATTTTATAACACAAGAATATTGTACCAAATAAATTTAAAGCCTCAGAAAATTAGTTATGAGTATTAAAAACTAATTGAATAAGTTAAGAAAAAAGGAAATGATGTATTATTGGTGAATAAGGAGTTGTTGAGACTTGAGAATAATGCCCTATATAGTTACCTAGCCATTCTTCAGGCATTAAGATAATATATATAAAGATGTATAGAAATTTGAAATTAGTATGTTAGTTGTTCATGTGAAGAGGGATGTAATTGAGCTTGCATATAAGTGTCTTGATCATGCACGGGATTTGGAATTAACCAAGGTGGAAATAGACTGTCAAACAGAGATAATTAATATTTTCTAATTCTATTATTCATTTTCTATTACTAACATTTAATTAGCCAAATAATTTGAAGGATCTACTAAAGAGTAAATTAAAGTAATATAATTAAACTTACCTTAAGTTAGATTGTTTGCATCTTTTATAAGCATTTCTTTTTCTATTACTCATCTTTCAACCAAATGATTAAACTTAAAATAATAGTTTAAAATAACAGTGAATTAACAAATCAGTGAATACTTATACTCATAAACTATAATAATGTAACGAAAAGGAAACGATATGCATGCTAGTCAAATTAATATAAATCAATATAAAAGTATTAGACAATTTACATTTTTAAATATGATCGTTCACGATAGTTTGTAATATTCAATACATTTTACTTTATCAATAACATGTTTATATCATCTTATATATGTAAAATAGTCATAGGAGCACCGTTTAAATTATATCATTTAAAGTGTTTTAATATCAATATTTATTTTCATTTATGTGTATGAGTACCTTAGAGTCCTCCCGCTAGTACGATAAAGAGATAAACTCCATCATAGTGAAGTATGCACATACAATCAATCTATGTAGTTCATATCATTCATACATTTATTTCTTTCAATTCAATATATTATATATAAATTTACATAATGCATAATGGTAGTATTTCAAACATGTTTATTCATCACAATGATATAACCAACATCTAAAAGAGTATTTAAATCACAATAAAATAATGCAATCATGTTTCAGTAACAATTAATGAATCCGATTTAGAATAAACAAAAGTCACTAAAACTTAAAGGTAAGAGCACTCACTTTGCTTTCAGATAATTTGATTCACAATCACTTAATCCGATTTCATCTTCCCCGACTTCAAAATCTTTATGCGGCACCTATAGAGAAAAATAATTTTTTAATAAATGATATTTACTAATTTAATATTTATCATTTTGTTATCTTACTACAATATATTAATTTATAATTTTAATTCCAAATCTTTAAATTTATAATTGTAATTTCACTTACATTAATATAATATTTAGCATTCTTGATACGATTGTTGACAAATTTTTCATAGAAATTAAGGCAAACACAAATTTTATTGCAAAAATATCAAACATTCAACACGAATACAAAGATAAACACCTACAATTCGAGAGGTTAGCGATCTTTTCCAATTCCTATAATTTGAGAGGTAGCAAATCTCTACTAAACCCAAAACCTATGACTCAAGACAATAATTTTATGCATAAAATTAACTCTAAACATATTAGTCCTATTTATACTAAAAAATAATAAATGACAAATTACTAAATTGTACTTAAGCTTATAAAGACTAAATTGCTCTTAGGCGTCGTCATAACACAAAACTAGTAGAAAGAGGATTTTCATGTGAGGTTATTATCTTTAGATCTAACCATGGATCGCTATTTATAGGCAACGATAAGCCTAGGCACTAGCGATTCAACAACAAGAAAATAAATAATATGAGCCCACTGTCATGTTTGTGTGGCGGGTAAGCATCGTTAGTGTTCAAAGGAGACTCCAGTAAATAAGAAAGTAGTATTCTACCCTAGGCAAGTTCTTAAAGTTGGCACTTTTGGTGAGTATACTGAGTATTCAGAGTGAGTAAGCAGGTAGGAAACTTTGAGAGATTTTAGTACTGAGGATTGATTTGAGGTGTATTCTTATAAAACTTAACATATGCTTTAGACGACTAAAGGTTTTGAGTGACTTATTAAATGGCAAGTCCAAGTTGGAAGTATTTCAAGCTAGGCCAACATTGTTCAACCTAATTTAGGTTATCATTAATATTTGATTAATCTAACTTAGTTGAACATGGGCATTAAAATATTTCAATCATTTGTTTTACCCAAAGATACTCTATAGCTGAATAATCATGCAACCAAAGCAGATCAAGCCAACAAATAAACTATTAAGAAGGCTTACAGCAGTTCTCCATCAGCAAGCAAGTCAAGAATTGCCACATCCTCGTCAAAACTTACATCCAAAACTTCTCCAAGCCAAATTCTTGTCTGATTCTACAGAAAATGAAAACAATTCAATAGTTCATACATATAATAAGAGCAAAATTGTTAATAGCAATTTCATATAAAGGTGATAGATATTTTGAATGAATTTATCCTTTAAAATTCAACACCATATGATCATGATAAAGCATGTTTGGAAATTTTTAAGAGCACCACATATACAAAAATTTTAATCAAGAAGAACTATTTTATGGCAAAAAGTAAATTATCTTATTATCTGTGCATTTAGTTAAGGATACAATGCTTACAACCTTGGCACAAACACCGTCATCCCTTCCATAACAAAGTCTTATTTGAAGGACCCACAGTCTCTTCCATTTTCACTCAATCACTTAAGATACTATGATACAACTCACATATTACGAGATAGAATATAACTGACCCACATGCCTGGTAAATTCAGCCATTGTATCTCATGTCTGTTCAATTCTCTTCAACAAAAATCATCCTCCTATGAAAATTTAACAATTGAGCATGACTCCAACACCTTAAATAAAGCCAACTTGTGAGGTTTCCCCATCAAGGGATTAAATTAGCTTCATATTACTAGTATGACCCTATGTCTGTGGATCAATATTGTCCTTCCACTTTCTCCCTCCAATAGCCAAACATTAATTATAATAATTGTCTGTATGCATTTAACAGACAACTCAAATCCTACTTCCCTTATAAGCGAATATCATGGCAGACTAGCAGTAGCATCGTGAAATCACCATATCAGAAAAAGAAAAAAAAAAAAAA